CGAGCACGTTCTTGGTCTCGTATTCTGTGAGGGTGTCTAGGAAGTCACTGAAGTGGCTGTCCTGGAGAGTGAAGCACATTTAAACTTACTGTAACATTAATATGTTATGGTTATTGTAATTTAGCTTTAAATAAAGGTAGCTTATTTTGTGCTCTGTTGAAAATCGTTCACCTACTTTGGTGTTCCTGGTCAAAAATTACTGGCCTTTTAAATTCAATGCAGCACAGGTTTTTCTTTTTGGATTTGATTTGACCTCATTGGTCTGAGCTTATGCACCTCAGTTTTTGAGTGACAAAAGCATTATTTGTGAATCATTTTGGCAATGTTCACTCAAAAACTGAGGTGCATAAGCTCAGATGATTGAGGCCTATGATCAATCAGTTCCAAAAAGGAATACAAAATGTGTGCTAGTTGAAAGAAAACAGTTTAATAAAAATATTGAACCCAATGTTTGGTAATAAAATAGCATGTGGTTTTCCCATTTTTACCTGGGAACACCACAAGTGTATTGAGCTAGGAAAAAATTGTCAATGATCAGTACATTTGTTACAATATTTATTCTATGGTCTCTTTGTTACAAAGTAATAACAGTAAATTATGCATAATTGCATGCAACTAACCTTAAACCAAACCCTAATCTAAACATACTCAGTACATATAGTACACATTATATTAATCAGTAATTAATTGTATAATTACACCTTTAAAAAAAACTGCAACCTAATATTTAATAACCTTTGTTAATATCAGTTAGCAAAAATACAGCTGTTCATTGTTATAAAACTTTGAAATGTTGACAACTTGCTTGTTTGTAGGTGACCAAATACTTATTTTACCGAGGAATTTACCAATTAATTCTTTAAAAATCCTACAATGTGATTTTCTGGATTTTTTTTCTCATTTTGTCTCTCATCTTTTTAAGTGGGAGAACTTGCACAATTGGTGGCTGACTAAATACTTTTTTGCCCCACTGTATATTACAACTAATATATATACTAATATTTATAAATGCATTGGGGGTATTTTTTAACTAACGTAGTTAGCTAACATTAACAAAAAGAAGTCTATTGTAAAGCATTACCAAATATTTTTAATTCAGTTTAATTAAATATTTTGTAACACTTTATTTCACAATTTCTATTTACAGTATAGTTCAATACACATTGTTAGTTAACATTATTTAATTGCATAATTACACTGTGACTAGGATCAAATCAAGTGCAGTCAAATATAGTTTGTGGTTTTCATGGGTCAGCATCAAAACATACATTCTGGATAATATTTGAATAATGGATTTCATTGAATTTCTCTCAGGTGCCTCTGAAATATTAAATTCTCCATATTCTCTTCCACATTAACACTAGAAAGGGAGTGTAAAATGTAGATTCAAGGTAAGCACTGATATTCTGCTGATTTGAGGAACACAGCGTACACGGCGTTAGGCATTGACCTTTAGATTTAATCCAGGATCGCTCTAATTCAACTCAGATTAAAGACTTTTATCCGCTCCATAACACACTGTGTGAGAGTGTTGACCTGCGCTAATCCAGCACTGGCCTTGCATATTAACAACAGAGCTCCAGTGCACATAAAAAGAGAAGAAATCACACTCTCAAAATGTTCAAAATCCCTCACTTGTTCGGTTTAGGAAGCGGGCAACACTTTTCGCATATGCAAACCGTATATCTGTGGATATTTGTGGTTAGTCAGCAGTCTGTCAGACATCTGAAACTGAGATAGCAAGTTGTCGCCACCTTCAGGGTTTCAAATACACCCGCTTGGTATTTTGGTCACACAACGCAAAGATTGAGATCCGCCATTTTTTTCATAAGTGATTATGAACACTACAGAGGAAAGTATATTGCTGTATGAGCAGTGAAGCACACTGTGTGCCAAAGACAGTCTGTTCCTTTGAAAAATGTTTAGTAATTTCTAATCAAAGAGAGGGGGAGATTTCACTGCACATTGAGTCATATCTGGCTGTGCAACATCTCCAGCACATTTCTCAAGTTTATCAGCAGTAGCCACTAATAATTAGCATAGAATCCAGTTTTGGCGATGGTTCACCCTCAGAATAAAAAAAAAATGCACGAAGCTTTCACTGCCTTCATGAAAATTAACCATGGTTTTACTACAAACAAAAAACATGGTTACTATAGTTAAACCATGGTAACCTCAAATTAACCATGGTTTTGCTATACTAACCAGTTTAACCATGGTATTTGTAGTAAAACTGTGGTTACACAAACGGTAATCAATACACCAAAAAACAAACATGGTTAATACACTTTTACTACAATAAAATCATGGTTAATGTTCATAAGGGTGGGGTGACGATACCCTTTCAAAATATACTATGTACCATTTATGTATTAATACATACACTGGGGGTACTAATATGCACCTTTTAGGGGTAAATAAGGTACTTTTTGAAAAGTTATCACCCAAATGCAGAGGTGTAAAGAGTACCTAAAAACCATACTTGAGTAAAAGTACAGATACCTTTCAGTGAAAATTACTCCACTACACGTTACAAGTCACCATTTCCAAAACAACTTGAGTAAAAGTCTTAAGAGTATCTGATTTGAACAGTACTTAAGTATTTTACTTATACTAAATATAGGCAAAACAAATGCACTAGTCAAAGAGACATGCCAGTGATAAACTGTAATGTTGTGGAGAAGCTGGGGGAAAAGGCAGAAGCAAGCATCTATGTGCAGATATTTAATGGAAAACTAGAACAGACAATAAGCCAAAAACCAAAGGAAACAAAGAACAGAATGACTGGCAAACAGACAACCATTACATTCAACAGCTCACAAGGAACTGATGAAAAACTAGAGCTATATATACACACAGGGTTAGACAAGCTTAACAAGACAAGACACACCTGGAGACTAATCACGAGGAAACCAATGCACAAACGGACTACAAACACCACGGGAGACAGGAAGCGACAAAAGTCCAGGGCAAGGCACAGAGAGCATGAAACACAAACAAGAAAGAGTTGATTTGTGAGGAGAGCAATCACATTTATTTTCTAAAACCAAAATAAAACTGAACACCTCAAAATTATATAAAAACAATATCCTTCAAAAAGGTCTCTTCAGTGTAATAGATAAATAAAATAATGCTAAGTAAAATTAAAAAGCCGAAGCCTTCTTGCAGTGGATGTGCTGGTTTGAGCCTAATTGCCGGCTGCAGTCACGTCCTCATCTCTTATATAAAACACCTGTGATTCACAAATACGTGCTAAGGAACTAGCATCCACATAAAGTAGCCTTGTTGACAAGTTTGGGTGAGTAAAGGCAAAACGCACAAGATGCAGTACTTTCAGTGACCTGTAATGGGCAGTATCACGTCTCTTGTAGCAGAAATAAACTGCTGCAGAAAAAGTTAGGTCCATGCAAAATGTAACGTGTAACTGCAACACTCATTTCAAATGTAGTGGCGTAAAGAGTACAGATACTCGTTCAAAAATGTAGTGAAGTAGAGAGTAAAAGATGCTAATATCTTTGATACTCAGTACAACTACAAAGTATCGAAAAAGATACTCAAGTACAGTAACTAATTACATTTACTCCAATACTTTACACCTCTGCCCAAATTAAAGCTTTTGTACCTTTTTCTGAGTGTGGATGTTTGTTATTTAATCATTTCATTGCTTTCTCTGCTGGAACAAAAAAAATTATATTAATAATTTGACAGAATTTGTAGGTTTACTGGCTATATTGTGAATGGTATTGGTTTTAATAATAGTCCATTAATTTAATAATAATAGTACCTTTTTCTGAGTGTGGATGTTTGTTATTTAATCATTTCATTGCTTTCTCTGCTGGAACAAAAACAATTATATTAATAATTTGACAGAATTTGTAGGTTTACTGGCTATATTGTGAATGGTATTGGTTTTAATAATAGTCCCTGTGGGTCCACTGGTAATTTGTCATCACCTATTTGTGTTAAAACCAATAAATCCTAATGGAATGTGTCCCAAAACACACTACAGACAACCATTGTTTAATGGTTTAATGGTTCATTAGTTGATAGTTTGTAACGGTTGTAATGGTATTTGTGGAAGCCATAAGAATGTCTGTGATGGTTTCAGCAGGGTTTCATGCCAGAAAACGGTTGCTTTTAATACAATTCATTAAAAACAGGCGTGACACGACTGCTCTGCTTGTAAAAATGAGATTCTGAATAGTCACGTTCATTTATGTATATTTTATGTATATTTTCGTCTCAGAATGAAATGTGAGTAAGAATTGCTAGCGTCGCACTGATCTCTACAGGTCATATTGAGAATTGCACAAAGCCTCTGTGTTGACCTGGGCAGCAGGACGCTGAGAATCACTTGGGGTTACTGGAGATGGTTTAAAAGAGGAGTCATAATCCTGTGTCCAATAGTAATTAGGATTAGGACATTCACCTGACAGCAGTCACAGTATGCATATAAACATGTGTTGACACAGTTAGAACATCTGGAAAATTAAGAACTTTAGGTTGTTGCTTGCCAGAATTGTCACTAATTTAGTGTTGCAAACATACAATCAAGAAAAGTTTCAAGAGCTTTCAGTTCCGTTCAGTATTATGTACATGAGGGTCTAGTTCAGTTGCCTCCTTACTCAAAAGGCAAAAGTTTGAGGTTATTAGGATAACAAAATGAAATGAAAATAATGAAAAAAATTAATTAAATTGATCATGTGCGACAGTAAGGACCTTTATAATGTTACAAAAAAATCTAGCTGTTATTTTGAACTTTGTTCATCAAAAATCCAGAAAAATAATGTATAATGTTCAAATAGAAAACAGTTACTTAAAATTGTAATACATTTCACAATGTTTCACATTTCGAAAATATGCATTTTGAAACATTTCGAAAACGTGTATGTGCATGATTAAGTGTTAAAATTATGACGACACAATTGTTTCACTCTACCATTTAATAATGGCAGTCTATATTCACATAAATACATTTACATTTAATTAACAACATATTATTTAAAAAAATCTATGCAAACTGGAAACAGCTTTTATAACATCTCAAGATCTATTTAATACAGATGCTTAATCTATTTGTTTGAAAAACTGTACAAATGAAATGTGTTTTATGTAACTTACATGTATTGTAAAAAAGGTAACTGTTGACAGCTCTCAGTTTGAAAGACTGCAAGCTTATTCTGTTCAGTGTTTTCATTCTGACATAAAAAAACAGATGAACTTAATAAATGTTGGCCCTGAAAGAGAGTGAAAAAATGCTGAGTATAAATATCTAGTATTTTAAAAAGACAGTCAGTTCTGTAAATTTCCACTTGCATATATTGATTCTATTCCATGCATGTCTTTTCATAACGTGTATGTCTCTTTATAACTATAGGATAAATATGTTGAAAAACATACAAAATACAGAAGTTTTTTCATTACCTTGAAAAAACCGAGATGGTCATGAGCCCCAGAACCAGCTCAAAGCTGTAGAAGCAGAGCAGCACAGCATTGAGCACAAACTCCAGCCGTAACACAAAGGTCTGCAGCAGCAGGTAGTAGACGCTTAGCACTGCACAGGGCACCAGAACAGCAACACTCACAAACAGAGCCAGAGAGCGCTGACACAGGTTCCCCTTCCAGCCTGAAAGTCAGAATTCACAGGCCATTACACAACAAACAGCGTAATCAATCTTTTTTATCAACCTGTTACGATGACATTCATCCACTCATTGCCATAGCAGGATTGAGAGGTTCAGAACTGAACAGAAAAAGTCTTTTAAATGTATATATATTACTGCTGTCAAACGATTAATCACATCCAAAATAAGTTTTTGCTTACATAATATGTGTGTGAACTGTGCATATTTGTTATGTATATATAAATACACACACATGCATGTATATATTTAAGAAAAATATGTTACGCTTGTATACAAAATATATTTATATATAAATTATATGAATATAAATATATACATGTAAATATATGCAATTTTTTCAAAATATATAGGTGTATGCATTTCCTAATCAAGTCCAATCAGTATAATCACACACAGCTGGACTCAAATGAAGGTGTAGAACGATCTCAAGGATGATCAGAAGAAATGGACAGCACCTGAGTTAAATATATGAGTGTCACAGCAAAGGGTCTGAATACTTAGGACCATGTGATATTTCAGTTTTTCTTTTTTAATAAATCTGCAAAAATGTCAACAATTCTGTGTTTTTGTGTCAATATGGGGTGCTGTGTGTACATTAATGAGGAAAAAAAATGAACTTAAATGATTTTAGCAAATGGCTGCAATATAACAAAGAGTGAAAAATTTAAGGGGGTCTGAATACTTTCCGTACCCACTGTATGTACATTATATATATATATGGCATTGATGAGATTTATTTTCTATAGATTAAGATCTATTTTAAAACCTGCAACAAAAGCAATGATATTTCAAAATATTACTACAACTTAAAATAACTGTATTCTATTTTAATATATTTTAATTAAATATAAGTGTGGAAAACAGTTATGCTGGAAACCGTGATACATTTTTTTCAGGATCCTTTGATGAATATAAGGCATTGATTTGAAATAGAAAACTTTTGTAAAATTATAAATGTCTTTACTGTCATTTTTGATCAATTTAATGCATCCTTCCTGAATGAAAGTATTAAATTAGTAGTGTAATAAATATTATTATTTTGTGTAAGACTAATTCATCTGTTGTGTGACTGTATTACAAGTACTTATATTATGAAATGTATTTTGAATTGCAATACAGTAAATTCCTCTTCCTGTCATTTCAACTCCAATGAATATAAAAAGGAGGCAAGTTTTTTGCACAACCCAGCTCTAAAGAGGGGACTTCTGAATGAAGATGATTTTAGTCCTCTGAAGGAAATAATTCTACAGCTACTTCTTGAACGTACAGCACACTAAACAACATTGTATCACACTGACCGTAGAAGAGTCTGAGGGTTTCCAGGCCCAAGAAGAGGAGTAGCAGGACAACATCCAATATCAGATTGGCTTGTGGGTAAGGGAGGATCACCCCTACAAATGACAGAGCAAGCACTGATTACTACACATATACAATCTCAACCTCTAGATCAGGGGTGTCAAACTTAAAGGGGTCATATGATGTTGCTAAAAAGAACATTATTTTGTGTATTTGGTGTAATGAAATGTGTTTATGCGGTTTAAGGTAAAAAAAAAAAACACATTATTTTCCACATACTGTACATTATTGTTTCTCCTCTATGCCCCGCCTTTCTGAAACGCGTCGATTTTTACAAAGCTCATCGGTCTGAAAAGCGAGGTGTGCTCTGATTGACCAGCTATCCAGTGCGTTGTGATTGGCCGAATACCTCAAGCGTGTGACGGAAATGTTACGCCCCTCACCATACTGTGATGCCGTGTCCCAGTCGGAGCGACGAGATAAAAACATTAAAACCCATTATAAACGAGGCATTTGTTGCATCCAGTGGGGATATAATTACTGATTATAATGACTTATACTGTTTTTTTACGCGTTGCGTTGCATCGCGCCGCATAAACATAAAACCATGTCTGCATTTGTGATCGGATAAATGACAAACAACAAGCGCTACTCTACACTGCTCAAAACTCTTTTCAAATTCTTTAAATATAAAAAACGTATTTACAGGCTGTGAGTCAGAAGCGCCAGACTGTCCTTGCGAAGTTGGAACTGCCCCACTTTATAGAAACAGACATTGTAGTCTACTCTCTCAGGAAACGACCCCGGGCTGGACTCCGCTTCGTCCACAGTGAAAGCCGATCCCCCGATCCAGTGCAAAGTTGATGTATTTCCTCAGCGACCAGCACGGATCGTGACACATGACAAAAGGCGTGAACATTTGGGTGGCGTTATGCAAATCTTCCCACATCGTGACGTAGACATGTTGGGGCGTGTTAGAACGAGCTGTTTTAGGTAGGCGTGGTTGACTCATTGGATTTGAGACTTTAGTCTTTGCAACTTTACAGATCTTCTTTATGCATCAAGAGCTTGTAACACTCCAAAGAGAAAGGAAAAATTTTAATCGCATCATATGACCCCTTTAATTCCTAGAGGGCCGGAGCCCTGCAGAGTTTAGATTCAACCCTAATTAAACACACCTGATCCAATTAATGAAGTCCTTCAGGCTTATTTGAAAACTACATTGTATGTGTGTTGGAGCAGGGTTGGAACAAAACACTGCAGGGCTCCGGCCCTCCAGGGGTGTATTCCTGAAAGCACAGTTAACTTAACATCAGCTAAACCTTCGGTTGATTAACCCCAAACCTTGCTTACTCAAGGTATGTGGTTCCAAAAACGCATTCGGGAGTAAGTTAATTCAACTCTGAGTATGTTCCAGGTTAAGACTCAAGACATTCTCAAAAGAGCGACGAATGGACGAGTCACTATGGAAACGGACGCTAAGAAAAAGCACGCCATGCGGTTTCTTCCTTCTTTTGTTCAATGGTCGTTTACATGCTTAGTGCATATCGCCACCTAATTGATGGTTGTGCAATCATTTAAATTTTTTTTCCGTTTAATCTTTAATCCTTGAGAATATGAATGATATTGTTTGTTTAATGCTAATTATATATCAAGTCATATCAGATATGCATTTAGACATTATAGAAAATGCAGATCCATGTGTAAGATAATATAAAATGTAATAAATATATAATTAAACATTACCTTGTCATAGTGTTTTATAATTCATACAGATAACTGTTATATATGCCAATAAACTAAATATAATCATATTAGTATAATATATTACCTTATTTATTACTTATATTAGCGCATCCTCATTAACATTTCATACAAATATATATATATAAATAAAATACACTATATTACATATTGTAATATTATATAATGTTGTGCGCTATCTGTCACGCCCACTGAAGGCTCATCAGTAGATCCTGCTTTTTGGAATACCCCCCAGGAATTGAGTTTGACACCCTGCTCTAGATGCTTTACTGAGCCCATACATCACCTTTGTAGATAAACATAAGAATCTCAGCGATGAAGAACGCTGCAAAATACCAGCCATTCAAATGAAACAGGATCTGCAGTGGTGTGGAGGACAACTGAGATACTTTGTTAAGATGCCACATAAACAGACCAAACAAAGATAGATGTGTAATTAAGAAAACTGTAAAGGACAGCTTGAAAGGATACCACAGGTTGTCTTCCTGCAAAAGCGAAGTTAAATTAGTAAGGTCATCCTTTATTGTCTCCCTTAGGAGAAATTTGTGAGAGCAGGTCAACTTACAACAACATTACACTTAAGACCAAAAAATAAAAAAAAACACTGAATTAATGAACATAATGTTCGACTAAAAGTAGAGGAGAGACTGGGAATTGTAACCCCTTTTGTCTCTGGCCGTTTTGGTCCTGAAACTCTCAAAAATTGCCTACCCACATCTGATCACTATAAATATCTGCCATTTTAAGATCTAATTTGATCATAAAGTTAAAAATTATGCTGAATTTTTTTTTATTATTTCATCTGCAAACATGAAACATGAAATTCATATTCTCATAAAATCCACCTATTTAAATATAACTGATTTTTAAATAAGAAAATAAATCGTATGCGCCACTGAATGAACGAGTTAAGGGGGATTTTTCTTTCTTTCCAGAATTCTGGCTTTTTTTTCCGCCATTCGACTCAAACAGGCATTAATTGATCGCTTTTCGTTTACCAAATCATTTTACTTGGCTTCATAAAAAGCCATTCGTTCTATTCACAATAAAATATAGGCAAATGTGTGCCGACATGGAGCTAAAATCAACTTATTTACAACCAACCCCACATCTTTCTGCTTAGTGCTTACCGTGCGCGGCCATATTGAATTGTCATGGAAACGGCATACTGTGGGCGGAGACAACCTTCAGCCGTCCAATCAAAACCCACGTCAAGAAAACAAGCGCGCTTATTTGACAACTTTACATGTCTTTATTTGAACGGGAACTATTTTAAGGCATTCTATTTTACTTATAAACTCAACCCATTACACTGCAAGAAAGTACATGCTTTTTGAAGAATTTTTTTTTTTCAGTTTTTGTTAATCACTAGATAAAACCATTAATGAAATAAAAGCACATCAGAACAAACAAGCTATAATTAATAAAAAAAGATCAAATAAAATGACAATTTCTGCATTAGTACTGAATCACTTAATGACTTAACACATATTATGATGTGAATTAGCTACAGTATGTTATCATTATGAGCGTCTATGATAGGGTGACCATAAGTGCCATTTTCCCAGGACACGCGCGTCCTGGCCAGGATTTCTATATTGCCTAAAATATCTAGGTTTTGGCTTTGTTTGCGTGTGCAGACCGATCGGTGTATGACATCAAAATACCTCGAGAGCATTTTGAAAGCATAAGGAACCGTCTGTATGGTATTTTGATGTCATACACTGATCGGTCTGCACACGCAAACAAAGCCAAAACCTAGATATTTTAGGCAATATAGAAATCCTGGCCAGGACGCGTCCTGGGAAAATGGCACTTATGGGCACCCTAGTCTATGAATGATTTCTGGATTGGCTTGATTCATGTCATGGTTTATGTTGAACGCTCCTTGTGCTCCTAAGAGAAAAAATATAATGAGAACACGTGTCAGTCTTGTATCATTTCTACCACACTAAAGATAAAATATCAAATCTGATAGATATGCAAAATAATCATGCAAATAAGAAGTCTGTGAAAGTTTGCCTTCAGCTTTTGATGATGCATTGGGGTCCTGCAGTGTTCGCCCTTGGCCTCTTCCTCACTGGCATAGATGGCATTACACAGGCTGCAGAAGTAACCCACCACAGGCCGAACAAACTCTGTGCCTGTTGGTAAAGTACAAAAGATCAGTTGTGCAGAAGCACAGCTGTACGGTCCAATATAGCCTTACTACTTTTATTAAACGGTAGCTACTTAATTCCCTGAGGATTTGCATGAGCGTTAGAACCTCTCACAGCTCAGGTTTAAGCATCATGTTTTCAGAGGCCTGTGAAACACGCTCTTACCCACTGGATCCATCACAGGTGTTTGCGTCTCTGACACAGCGTCTGAATTTTCCTCCTCCGTTATGCTTCCATCATCAGCTGCAGAAACCTGCTTCTCATCTCCCTTCGAGTTGTCATCTCGGTTATCATTCGAAGACTCCTAAAACCAGTGTTATTCATCATCAAACACATAGTATCGGTAGACATGCTGCACAGCAGTATCTGAAAGCTTACCAAACAGGGATTTGACCAAAGACAGGAAAATAAGTGAGAATGATCTACCTCGACATTCGCTGATGTCTGGATAGACGGCTGCTGCTCAGAAATACTGTTTTGTGTCTTGGATTCATCATTTTCCTCCTCTAACTCGAAAGATGGGTGTACAGAACCATCACTAGGTCCATGTAGAAAGTACCTAGCAAACCATACAAAACGTGTAGGGATGCAGTGAGTGACGTTCATAATTGATTATTCATAAACTGGTCAAATACATTGTTTACATTTGAAAAATGTGCAAATTGAAAACTATAAAATATGATGAAGTTCATGCTAAACATACCATGTGTAAAAATGTTACCAAAAAAGTGCACAACATATAATATGCTTCACAACAAAGTGTTTGTCCAGTTTTCAATATGAGGAACAGCAACGTGACTCTTTATTTTGTCTGTGGCTGTAAGAGACGGCTATATCCTTTTATATGTTATAATCCCATTGCAGTTACTGTTCTTATAAAATAGCATTACCTGTGTTAGATGTAGGATTCAATTAAACATGGTGCATTTAAAACCTAAATTTAACATCCCAAAAACATTTAATCAGAATAACGAGTTTTCTCTGTTGCACTCCAGCTAGTTTATATAGAGTTCGTGCTCATTAACATCTAATAGGGACTTATAATGATGAGCCTTGTACCAAAACACCTCTCAAGCACACTAAAGAGCACATTCATCTGTCCAAACACCTGACAAAAGCAATCCAAATCAAAGCCAATAAACTTGTTTGAATATAGTGCTTTGGACAGTTTTGGGTTGTGCACTTTTTGTCAAGCATTTTTCACTATTGTAAACTGACATCACTTGACTAATTGTTAATAATGTCGACTATAATCAATTTTGCAGGTCTTGAGGCCCTGACTGTGTTTGACATCAAGAAGCATTGACTGCTTACTACACACTATAAAGATGACAAATAAGTAACTAGCACTGCTATTTTGAATTTGCATTTTAGTACATCAAAATGAAGTGCATAAATTACTATCCAATACCTTTTATTTAAATGAGCATGTTTGGTAGACACTGAAATCTTGGGATGCATTCCAGCAACTGTAATTTTATTAATGTCTGCCGCAGCTACAACCTTTTCAGCATCAGAGGCATTTTTCATTTCAATCAGTCCCTGGTGGGTGGGAAGAACATTTTAAGATTTCATTGATGGAAGCACTGAATACATTTTTCAAATATATATATATATATATATATATATATATATATATATGGCAGTTATAGCTACTAACCGTTCGATGAAGGCGAAACATCCAATGGCGTACTACTTTACCATACGGTTCTGCGATGCTCAGAAATTCTGCATCAGTGTACTCATCAGGCATTGGAAGGTTTCTGATCCGGAGAACTCTGCCATACCCGTCCTGAAGTATTGGAAAGCAACAAGAAACTGTGTTAGCTGAGCTGTGTATAATCAATGATACGCCAATGTTTACACGTGTTTTGTGGTCTCCGTAAAAAGACATATACTGCTAAAAAGACGTTGTATTTGAGATTCATTTTGTGAAATGGTTTCTTGATTTGACCTCCTCATCACTAGACGTCTGCATGATTGTGTCCATGTTGGTTTCCTTTGCTTCCTGAGCCTCAGCATCTTCTTCAGAGATCTCGGTCTCAGCCATCACTACTGTACTCTCCTCACTGGAAGCCAGTGTGCTTGATGGCTCCTTATTGTTCTCTTCAGTATCTTCCTTAACTTTCTCTTTCTCAGAGTCAGCGTCAACACTTTGCCTAAAACAGAATCAAATATCATCTGATGTGTTCTTCAGAACACGAGAAAACTACAGAAAAGTAGTTATTGAAATGTAAGTTACCCATCGTTCAAGTGGCTGTATTTCTTTGACACGGTTATCCTCAAGTTTCTGCCGCCTAGTTTAATGTGTTGCCTTTTACACTCGGCTTCGAGTTTTGCAGCATCGGCAGCATTCGCCATCTCAATTAATGCCTTCTCCACCTGCAACGAAAACATAATTAACATAATTCTACATATATTAACAGAGACAAATCCTGCACATCACGTATCATGAACACTTCAAAGTAGAGCTGTAAGGAATTCTCATGAAAACTGATTAGGTCAGACTATATCAATGATAGGTTAACTATTGCCGAAAGCCCTAACGAATAGATTCAAAACTCACGTAGTTCTAAACATTTTTCTTCTAACAGAATATTTTAGTAAATATATGCATTCAAATATTACTGTGTATGTGACATTTCAGAGCAAATACATACATTGAGCTGTCTCTGACAAATATAATCAAAAGTTAAAAAAACACTAGCATTACAAATCGCCTAGCATTAAAAAAAAGATTGCAAATTAACAGTTTTGACATTTTGCTTACTTTTGCATACACAATTTACATTTAATGTTAAAATTATGCCTTAATTTGATAATTTTACCTTTCGATTGCTGCGAACCAGACAGCAGTTTGCCACATCTCCGTATTTTTCCCCAATTTTCAGTAAATCTGCTTCACTGTATTTTTTAGCCACTGGAAACCCTGCCACCTCCAGAACTTTGCCAAACGTTTCCTAAAAAAAGAGAACGTTATAAAGAACTCAAAATGCCTTAGCATAATTAATAGAAGACACCATAATTTGTGTTCCATATATACACGATCACAAACCCTTTAAAGGGAAAAACAGACTAACCTCAGTGCTCGAAGTCGAAATCTCCATTTCATCACCTAAAACAGAATGGACATACTTCTTCAATTATCTTTGAAACGTAATAACTAAAGCAAACTACAAAAACGGTTTTAGCAAAACATACAGCAACTTTATTGCATTTACTGTTGAATTATTCAATAACCGTGTAAAATAAATACCTTTTTCTGTCAACACTCCCTCCTTGTCTAGATTCTCTGAGATATCTGCTGTCTCCTACAGACAAAACAGGACAGATGTAGGCTATATATATATAGAATCCAACATTATTAACTGTGTATCATTCACTACCAACTGAAATACTTAAATTGTGTACATTCTATTCAATAGATTTTGAATAGACTTGAACATGTGTTGTCAGAAAGAGCACCAAAACTGCTAGGCCATGACTAGTAATTCTAAATTTTTTGATATACTTTTTTTTTTTTTTAGATGTCGAGTCCCCAATTTCAAAATGTGGGTAACTGTTACACTCATTTGTGTTTACCTCCATCTCCACTGTATTGTCTTTTTGCTCCCCTTGTTGCTGGTTTTGTTCTCCTTGTTGAAGCTCTTCTTGTTTAGGCTCTTTTTGCTCTTCTTGTTTAAGTTCTTTTTGCTGAAGCTCTTTCTTCTCTCCTGGTTGAAGCTCTTTTTTCTTTTCTTGAGGCTCTTTTTGCTCTCCTTGTTGAATCTCTTTCAGCTTTTCTTGAAGCTCTTTTTTCTCTCCTTGCTGAAGCTCGTTTTGCTTTTCTTGAAGCTCTTTTTGCTCTCCTTGTTGAAGCTCTTGGGCTTCCTTACAATCGCTCGATCTTTCCGAAGTAGTAGCAGTTGGTACACACTCTGACGTCTCTGGCTGTATGCTCGATGTGTCCATGTCTGAAGGTTTAGTCTGATCATCTGACTCTTTCACAGTTTGGACATCTTCAGACGCATCCTGTTCATCGGAGGTTTCATGCGCCTCATCATCCATCTCTTCATCTACTGTGAGCTCATCTTCTGAATTCAGTGCCTCACCATCATCTGCTATAACTGCCACTCCTTCAAGATCACTATCATCAGTCATGATGTCAGACTGATTGTTGTCGTCTTCAACAGTCTCCTTCACACTTTCTTCTGTTTTTGTTTTTTGCTTCTGGTCTTTCGAAGGAGAGCATTTTTTAGAACGGGATTTGGATGAGCTGTCCCGTCTAGAGCTCTCTTTGGTTTTCTCGCGTGAGCGTCGACTTTCTTCTCGTTTCTTAGAGTCGTGACTCCTGCGAGACCTGGACCGCTCTTCAGAAGCTCTTCGTTTGGGGCTGGGAGAGTCTCTGTGGGATCTCCTCCTCGGGCTGCAACTCCTCCTCCTCCTCCTGCTGCTGCTGCTGCTATAAGGAACTGGTGATTTTTCTTTGTCAGCATCCGTCATTCTAGACCATGAAGAGAAATATCAAGCATGTTATTTTAGAAGTAGAATGGAAAAACGCACACCAAATTAAAAAGTGTAACATCTCTAGTGTTACCCAACAAAACAGAATAAAATCCATGTCCAAATGCAAAAAAAATGGTGTCTTTACAAGTCAACATAAGATCAGCAAAACAGGCTTACTCAAGCGTCTGGTACTCAGTTGAGGAACAAACGTTAATGGTTTTTCCTTTTATTTTAAGTGAATTGGTTGAATAGTGCTCCACCAATTTGTCGGCCTCCTCTGCACTGCTCATCTCCACATAACCCTGTAAAAAGGCACAAAGTCTTTATACAACATAGATGACTGCCGAGAAAAAACATGCCATAAAATAAGTAAATAAATAGAAATATCTGCACAACAATAAGCTTAGCTACCCGGCTTGGGAGAAACAGAGAATGTTTTACTGATCCGAAACGCTTAGCAATGGCCGTCAACTCCGAGCGTATGCCATCACCAGAAGGTAACGGTGAAAAGCTCACTACACGAGAAGTCTGTAAAACATGAAGGAAATCATTCAATCACCATTGGTGGCATGCTAAAACAAATCAAATGGATGCAAGTCACTTTTGAAGGTGTCATTGGTAAAATCTTCTGAATGGCACTAGGAAAATATCTCTGATCCCTCCCTAACATAACTGAATTAGGTGCCCGACTGAAAAGTAGATAGCTGAGTGAATGTAGCTGAAGTGGATCATTCAAGTTAATCATCATATTCCGCTTCATAAGCAGGTATCATTTTGTCATGCGTGTCATTTTGCTTATCACGCCTTTGACAACACCGATGAAGCACTGCTGCACTCCTGCTCCATCTCTGACTGCAAAGTCTCAACCATATTTTTAGGATTGGGTTTTGTAAAGTAGGGGAGAGTCTAATTCAGGGACTAGTCTGGCAGAAGTTTCAATGTTTAACATCGCTAACAAGCAGGGGTTTTGAAACTTGTTCATTGAAAAGTTTTTGAGAAAAACTGTTTACCGTTTCCCAAAACTAGGAAAACAAATCATGAGCTTAACCATATATTGTATAATAATTTCTATTAGTATTACTACAGTGACAATATAATGACTAATCAATGTAGGAAACAACATGTTGTCTTTGTAATATCACTTAATATTTTCTCATACTGTATAAATGGGTTCACACAGGAAAATATGTGGTTGTACTTCTATTTTAGGAAGAAGGTCCTCATATTTGGTCGTCCTCTGCATCAAAAAGTCCTGGCTTAACACAAAACATAACATTTAACATATTTACTCACCTGTAGGAAATTGAATGCTGCAGACAGAGTAAATACGATCAGTTCTCCTCTGATCCTCAAAGGGTTTTGGTAGAAATATTTTACTATATCCTCTGCCTTGGCCTGCTGTTCCCATATTCACAAAAGCCTAAAAAATATTACAAGAAAAAAGTATTACAGCCCATTTAAAAATCAGATTCATATATTTGTTAAAGGAGTTATATATATATATATATATATATATATATATATTTATATATATATATATTAAAAATAAAATGCCATACCATTCTTGGTAACATGATAATTTTGACAATCGCCCCAAACTGGCCAAGCAATTTTTTCAGGTAAGCTTCATCCACATCATCCACTTCAAACTTGACGCACACCACTTTGCACTGTAATCAAATTTAGTTAAATAAACAATATAACAATGTCTGAAACAGAACATCACAAATAAAAATCCACCTTCGTCGTTGCTTCGGTGTTATTGCGGTTTTGGCTGCTTGATGATTGACTTTTGCTGCCTGACGATCCATTTCTACTGCTTGAGGTTCCACCTGAAAAACGAACAACATCTATAATATCTAAAATATCTAGAAGATAGATAGCTTGAATCACTACGAAGAGAATAAAGACGTTACCTCGTTCCTGTGTTGTTCTGGACGCGTGTCGATCAGGATGGGGCTCATTTCTGTTAAAGTGTGTACATAACATGTAAACTAACACATTTTTGGAAATGTGCTGGTTTACAAATATAATGAGGGGATGATTCTACCTTCGAGCAGATTGGATTGTCTGATCCCACGCTGGATATCTAATGAAGAAGGATATGTGTGTAAAACATTTATTGACATTTGAGCATTTTGGCAGTTGCTTTTAACACATTCAAGGCATGTGTTATATCAGTATGTGAGCAGAACTGAACCCGTGCAATTGTTAGTATTATGCTACTGATAACTCGGTGTACCACATAAAACATCAAGGTGGAAAATACATAATACTATTACTTTATTAAAATGTGTCGTAAAGAATTGCACATGCTTTGTCTGTACACGGAGTTATGTTTCATGTTAAATCTGTATGACTACTGGCAATAAATCTGTATAAAATGTAGCTAAATCTCTTAAATCATCCTCACTATCACCAAATATGTTTCTTAAACCGCTTGAAATAATTATTTAGCAGCAACATGACTGCACAGGAGTTTTAGAACAAAATTAAAGAATAAAGTTGAAGATACTTACTTTTCCACAAGACTAAGTTGACTATGAGCATGTTGGGCTCCTTTTATATGCAAAGACCAGTCCTAAAACACAAGTTATATCTCTAAATATTCATTCATGAGGCACTAAATTGTATAATATGACAAAGTACATTTATAGTCTGTATGATTAAGACAGACTTCCATCAAATTTAAACAAAAAGTATTTGCAAAAATCATATATACTGTTATGCTAATGAATTTTTCACACCCTCTAACTGCATATGCTATCAAAATGAACAGATCTTTAATTTTGGTTGTTTACTATCTTAACTAAAAAAATCTAACAAAAAAGACCATCATATCAAGAACAAAACGACAAGTCAATTATCAAGTCATTATGCAGTGCCAATCTTCCTTTCCATTATAGCCCTTAAATCTCATTCCCACTAGAGCATATTCATACTTTTTGCATCAAGATGAATTACACCCAAGTATGACTCCATGCCTCAGTGACTCCATTGGTTCCTGCATGTCTTGTGACCAAACATGATGCAGCATATTTGCATATGCGGGAGCAGGGATGAGATTTGAGGACTACGGCAGGGGGATAATGACTTCATTCAGTGCATGAGTCGACTGGACTGCTTTAATGTTACTTTCTATCTTTATTAAGTTCAGTACAACATGACAGAATTTCCACTCTGGGGTAAACTATACCTTTAACGCATTACTAATAAACATGCTACTTGGACTTACCTCATATGCCACAGTACGCTCATGTGTATTTTGCCTGCAACTGTCTGGTAAATAGCTGGTAATGTAGAATCTGTGAGAGCAAAAATAAGCTACTTACCTTGTTAGAGAGGACAGTGATTTCGCAGAGCACGCACGCGTAGGGAAATACTGGTGGAGTTTTCCCGTGGAAATCTGATGCCTCCTTCCTGGTAGGCACTCTAGGAGCTGACTCTGTCCTCCGTTGGTGTGAAGACTGACCAACGTCTCTGCTGGCCAGGTGCGAGGGTGGTGCAAGGTCTCTGATGGACAGGAGCGAGGGCAGACCGACGTCTCTGCCAGACAGGAGAGAAGGTGGGCCGACATCTCTGCCGGACAGAAGCGAGGGTGGAGCGACGCCTCTGTTGGACAGGAGTGAGGGTGGACCAACATCTCTACCTGACAGATGTGAGGACTGACCAATGTCTCTACCAGACAGATGTGAGGACTGACCAATACCGGACAGATGTGAGGATTGACCAATGTCTCTACCAGACAGATGTGAGGACTGACCAATACCGGACAGATGTGAGGACTGACCAATGTCTCTACCGGACAGATGTGAGGATTGACCAATGTCTCTACCGGACAGATGTGAGGACTGACCAATGTCTCTATTGGACAGATAAGAGGTCTGACTGACATCTCTGCTAGAGCGATGGGAGGACTGACTGACGTCTTTACTGGACAGATAAGAGGACTGACTGACGTCTCTGCTAGAGCGATGGGAGGACTGACTTGCATCTCTACTGGTCAGAGGAGAGGACTGACTGACGTCTCTGCTGGACAAATGTGAGGATTGACTGACGTCTCTGCTGTGGCTAGAGTAAGACTGCGGGACAACGGACGTTTTCTGCCTTGATGGTTCTGTGGCATAAGACGCTTTATCAAAATAAGACTGTTTGTCTTTCAGATGGTTGTACTCAACCACATAGTTTGAGTCAGAACTGGTGTGCGTGCATGTTGGAGAGCTTGTTTGTTGGGCATTTTCCCAGCGGTCGTCCCAGGTTGGAAGCTGCTCTCGAGGAATGGAATATGACTGACGGACAGGCAAAGCCAATGGATACTCAACCAGCTGAGTGTGGCTCCTGTCGTCCCAGGAGCGAGATGACGAACCGGGTTGGAGCGCACCGGACCTAGATGAAGAAGTGTTGGACGCTTTCTTATTTTTGATCTGCGCAAGAAGGTCAGGAAGGGTATCGGCTGCGATGAGATGCTCCGGAAGCTTGGCCAGAGTTTGAAGGTCTTCAGCATCCAGTCCACAGCTATGCAGAAAAGACAAAGCCTTAGCAGACGAGAGGACAGGTTCTGATGAGGATGGAGACGTCCGCTCTGGAGATCCGCTCCTAATTCGCGACCTGTAAGCGGTAGACTCCCGGTGATAAATTCGTTGCGAGTCTTTGTACTTGTCATTGCTTGCGCTGTAATCATCAGGTGGGTTTCGGTATGGTTGATTGTAAGACATGTCTCAAAGTTGTCAAAAGTAGTCAAATATGTGTAGGACCTCAAAAAAATCAGCTCTTGCCGGGGCAGCTGCTGCTCACCTGTTAAAAAGTTGGTAAGGAGAATTTGTTCTCCTTGTATTAATACTACAATATTGAAGAGATCAGCTTCAGGTGGAAGATCTGCTGGTGAATCCGGCTGAGGCGTGTCACCTGTATCAGTCTTACCTTGAGATGAAAAATGAAATCATTCACTTTGTGGATGTCTCTGGGTTTGTTTTTAGAAAACTTCAACTGTATCAGACCAGAAATATCACAACTAGAAAGTTAATTAATGTAACTGGTAGAGGCCTAATGTCCATGAACTTTGTTAGAGGATATGTATAAAGGAAAGCAACTTTAACTGGAAACCTTCATCTTTACGTTTTGAAAGACTTTCGCTTTCATGTCAACATGCATTTATAATACACGTAAATTATTTTATAAGAAAGAAAAAAAGATAGTATGTCACTGCTTGAAATTTCATATGTAGACTACCTCAGTGTATGTGGAGTTTGCTTTTCAACTTAAAAGTGAAGAATAATTTGACAGTTTTTCCTGAAGAGTTGCTCTCTTGTGTTTTGGCCTGATGCTAAGCGCCATCTTTCCGTTGGTCTTTGGCCCTGATGCTAACCGCCATATTCCCACTAATACAATAACATCAAATGGGGCGTTATCAAATTATATTACGAAGGAAATAATCAGTTTGTACTGACTTATGAAAAAAACGTACCTTACAAGCTGGAATAAAGCAACTGATCGCTAAAGCTATGCAAGATAGCGGTTACGCTGAAAGACGTTCTTCTTCTAGCCTCGGTGTCCAAACCGGAAATGTGATTTTTCAAAATAAAAGTCGCCCCGGATGTATTGTTTGAATGTGTGTGAATATTAAAAATGACTTGTTACATTTTATTCAGAAATAAAATAATAACAACATATACACTATAGCATTAATTGGTTAGAACTTAAAAATAAGCTCTGATAACGCCAATGCTAATTAAATGTTTGTCACGACTATTAATCAGTATTGTTACAGTAGAAATAACTTTACCAACTAAAGTAACAGAGAAAAACTATGCTTAAAATGTCAAATTATGTAAACACAACTATCGTCTCTCTCTCTCTGGCAAAATCCCAAAAGCCTTGTAAATACTGGAGGTTTTATATATCGACCAGAGACGGAGACAAGGAACAAGAACTGACCTTTTATTTTTCCAGACATTTATTGCCAGTAGTGCCCGAACACTTGCTATATCACAAAGCCTTTTTAGCAATACAAAAATGTACTAGAGAGAAAGAGTTTTACTGTAAGGTGTTCTGAGCATGATTGATTAATTACATTATAACATTAAAATAATATACTGATGTCAAGAATTGTATCTTTCATAAAACCTTTCCACATTCCCCAGACTCTGCATGACTTTTTTATAATATCTCTCTCTCTTTTGCATTTTGTGAAAGATAATTCATGACCTCAGTATTAATAAAACAACAGAAACAGAAAAACACAGTAGTAGCAGTTAAGTGTGTGGCATACAATGTCACATCTAAATCGTTAGAACAGAACAGCTATGACTTGCTTATGAAGCTTTTGCTACTACATTAAATGGAGAAAATATTTGTTAATTAAAAAAATAAAAAATAGAAATAAATAGTCTATTAAAAGATGTTCCAGCATGAGTGGCTCATTTCTTCATCCCATTACTCTGTGCTTTGGCTTCCTCCTCTTCCAGAGATTTTAGATGAGAAAATAAAACAGAACATTTGTTTCAGAAACATATTGAATATATCACAATTAGTGAGGTTACCATTACCATACAACAACAAATTGTAGATACCATGTAAATAAGATACTCGTTGTACAGTGTAATCAATCATTTTTTGATTAGAACTGGAAATTTCACAAGAATTCAGAACTCTGTTAACTCGTGCTAAACTGAAGTGACTGACCGCTTCATCGATCACAAAGAGAGCAGTCTTCGCTCACTTTCAGTAAGGCAAACCAAGTCAAACGCCTGGCTGTGTGAAACAATTTATTAGCAAAATCAAAGCCATCTTACCAACTGGGGCATTACCAAGAGCGGCGCTTCTAGATTCTAGCTTTATTTGAGGCGGTGCTGGTGTAGTGTATTTTCCCGCGGTCTTCACACTCTTCTCTGATACAGCAGCAACAGTCTCTTCATCTTCAGCCTCCTGGTCAAAGGACAGCAAAGGAAAGCAGTGGATAAATCTCTGTCTGGGCTGAGACGGATCTCTCCGAGCCTCCTAAAACAGTCATCATGCCATTTGATGTTGTAAATCAGATTTAGTGCACACTGTCATACACTACACAACAAATAATATAATGACTGTGATATAGCTCTATAGTGATATGGTTAATACTACAATAATGTTTTCACTCCAACTCTTTATGTACAGTAAATTAATTAGTTTGTTTCTCCTTGTATGACTTTTTTTATTTTATTTACCTGTAACTGTTCATTTAAAGGAATTAGATCTCGCATTAAAGAAACGGGAGAGGAGGAGCGTAATTATTCTTTAATTTTATTCTTGTCTTCCAACCTTAGATTGGTCAGGTCATACCCCTTTATTTTATTTAAAGAAAAAAATTGTAATATATATATATATTTATTTAATCACCCTTTAGTCGTACCAATGACCGACTGACTTCCGTAAAGTGAAGGTATATGTTTTTTTGTGCATGTTTGTTCCCAACTTACTTAAAACAAACCTTTAGTGATCATAGGTTTGTTTGGAACAACAGACAAGTGTTGCCAACGTAGCAATTTTGTCGCTAGATTTAGCAACTTTTCAGACTACCCTAGCAACTTTTTCTTCCAAAAGCACCTAGCAACAAATTTAGCTATTTTAAAAAATTTATTTGGCAACATTTAGCAAATTTTAACGATAAAAAAGCCACACATTTTCCATCTAAATTACACAAAGAGAGGAAACCAAAGGTGCCTAGCAGTACACAATTCACATGAATTAAGTTGGCTGCTATTAGCAATTGTTTAATAATAATAATAATAATAATTGAATAATTGTTCATTTATGATACACCTTGTTAGTAGCTTGTACTTGAGTTTGTTGATCAGTTAGTGCACGGTAAGAAAAATATCTAGAAAAATTGAGTGATTATCCATTGTAACCCGAAAACACAAAATACAATGCGTAATTTAAAATGTAGGTAAAAAACGTGTGAATAATAATTACGGAAAATTCCTTCATATTAATAGATTTTGCCCTATTTTTACAGGCTTTTCTTAGAGTGTAGCATACGAACTACTAATACACTGCTTAAATCTATAATCGTTCAGAATGAGTAGTTTTACTAGTTCACTAGCTTAATAAAAACAAACTTAAATTGTAATTGTTAAAACATGTGAAAGTGTTAAATAATTCAATGTTGTATTTAAAATTAGTTATTTATATTTTAATATCATATTATGCATTTCTATTATTTTATAAACGCCTCTAAATTAACATTTACATATATTTTTTTTGGGGCCGAGATTTGATGCAGCGACACAATTTTGCGTCGTGATTACGTAATGACGTCACCGCGCATTGACGTCGCGTCATTTAGCAACAAATCGATCTTCCTTCAGCAACCTCCCCTGAAAGTAACTTACAGCACATGGTTTTCACGGTCACACAGATGTACTCTACTCTGTAAGTTGGTCCTCACATACCTCAGTTTTGAAAAACCACACAGGGACGGCTGTCGACTTCAGATATCGTCGTACACTTCCCTTATCTGACCTGAAATCGTCTCGTGAAAAATGTTGACTGCACAGCCTCAAAACGTCCAGAGACTGAACGGGTAAACCAGTGTCCCGGCGAACCGCGAGCAGCCATAGCCTCAGGCGCTGCGGGTCATTCAGTGGGAATCTGTGAAAAGTCAGCCTTTCCTCTGGCGACAACGGCCGAGGACGCAACCTCACTGCTTTCTGTCTGTTGAAACATCCAGGAAAAGCACACATACGCACCATTGTTCAATTTGCAGCATAACCCTTTTGTAACTATACAGCTCGGTTGTAAACAGCGCCCCAGTTTGTATCGTAAACGCGTCTAAACTGTCGTAAAATGCGCATGCGTCAAGATTCAATTTATCAAAAGGGTTTAACATTTTTTGGGATATAGGTAACAGATAAAACAGTAGTCCCATGTGCTACAATCAGAGTAAAACTTATCTTTAAACCACATAAATATAGCATTGCCTTTATATAACAGTTCTCTCTAAATAGTGGTGTTTTAATTCCTTGATTGATCATACATAGCTAAATGTAACAAAAGGGCCCTTGGGTCTTAAATGATATACCAGAGAAATTGATTTTCACAAATAGGTTTACATTTTAAAATGTATCTTTAGTGTTATTCCAATAGCACAGATTTACCGTATGCTCTGATTATATAACAATGGGGCCATGAATGGGCTCTCCTTTCACAGAATACAAATTAAATAGAAAAAAAAGATTAAAAAGAGTCAGACAGAGTCTGAGGAATGCTGAAATTTAATAAAAGAAAGGAAAAACAAAAATACAGTTGTTGTAGTAGCAATTAAGGCGTAAAATGTGTTAAACTTCACATCTAAATCACTAAAACAGAACAGGCAGGAATATGATTTACGAATGTGTCAGCTTTCATTACTACTTTAAAAAGAGCGAACCCTCAGTCTAATTTTTTTTTAAAAAAAAAAAAAAAAAA